CCCTCCCGCCTCCCTGCCCGCCCCACTTCTCATTCACTTGGCTCGCGCCGCGCAGACAGCGCAGGGAGCACACACCGCCAGTCTGCGCACAGAGCTGGAGCCAGAGGCGCGGGGATACCGGGCTATGCACGCCCCCAACTGAAGCAACACCTCAAAGCCACAGCTCCCAGCAGCCCAGCGGATTTCAGAGAGCGCAGAGTCAGAAGAACCTCTGCGGAGAGACCCCCCTGGAAGCCTCCTGCAGGACGGTCCTTACCCCCACGCTCCGCTAGTGCAGACAGGAGCGCGCAGTGGCCCCAGCTCGCCGCGCCATGGAGCGGATCCCCAGCGCGCAACCACCCCCTGCCTGCCTGCCCAAAGCGCCGGGTCTGGAGCACCGAGACCTACCAGGGTAAGTTGGCGTTGGCCCCTTCAGGCCCCAACTCCAGTCTGCGCTGGGTGCCGCTCGCAACTTGAGGCAGCTCCAGGCGCATCCGGGGTTTCTTGCCCTCCAGGGCGCCTGCAGCTGGTGAGCACGCAAAGTCACGACCCTTCTTGGCACTCTCTCTGCAGGATGGATTTCCCCCACATGTACCAGGTGTATAAGTCGAGGCGGGGAATAAAGCGGAGCGAGGACAACAAGGTAAGTGCACCCCTGAGGACCCAGCGCCCCAGCCCCTCTCGCGCGCTGAGTTTCCAAAAAAGTTTTCTCGCTTTGAGGTTGGCGGGAGGGGGGGATATAAGGTGTGGGCTCAGTGCCTCTACTGAGTGACTGGGAAAAGAAGGGAAGGCGCTGGTTCTGGGTGCGACTCTGTTCCTCTCCGTGCCTCTTCTGTCGCCGCGGGGTCGGGCAGGAGGGAAGGCTCTGCATCCCCTTCCCCAGGTGCCTACCGTTTCCCGTGCGCTTTGCAGGAGACCTACAAATTGCCGCACCGTCTCATCGAGAAAAAGAGACGTGACCGGATTAACGAGTGCATCGCCCAGCTGAAGGATCTCCTACCCGAACATCTCAAACTTACAGTAAGTGAGAAGTTGGCGGGGCTCCAACCCTGCTCCTCTGCCCAGAGGGCGGGCGAGAGGGGGTCACTCGCCGCCTGCAGGCCCGGTGGAGAACTGCAGACCAGACCTAGGACCGGAGCTGGCGGGTGGTTGGGTACCCTTCCCCAGTACTGGGGTGGTTTTTGTTTTTTTGGTTTTTGGCAGCTTCATGCAAATAAATCGAGAGCCTCTTGGACATCTCCAAGTTGGCTTCAACACCAGCTATCCATCCTTATCAATAATTTAAGACTTTCCCTTCAGGTGATTTTCAAGGTTCTCTTATTTTCCTCATTTAAGGGAATCCATCAAGCAACACAGATTTTTATTAATATTTTTTAAAGTAAGGTGTGTGTGGTTGCTTTGGTGTGTGATTTTTATGTCTTTTCTTGAAAGTAGTTAACAGCTTTCTAGTTTGGCAACCTTTGGTGGGGGAAAGAGAAAAAATAGTATTTGGGGAGGAAGCAAAAAGCCTGGGCAGGCTGGAAGTTCTGAAAGGGTGTCAGGAAAGAAGTGAGGGAAAGCCTCTTGGCTGCCAGACACAGGAGAAGTCCCTCTCTGGGTTGACACCCCTGCAGAGAAATGTTATCTCTGGATTCCCCTGAGTTAAGGTCAGCAGCGGCTGCTGGAGAAATTTATCTGTCAAAGCTTTCTCCTAAGCTAGCTGCAGCTTCTAAAATGCCTCCAAAGATAGCTGACACCCGTTTTTTATTATTTAATCAAATATTTATCTACATAAGTATAGCTATATATCTTTTTTAAAAACATGATCAATAGACTTAAAACCATATTTAGCCAACCAGGAATGACTTTTTTCATTTCTCCCTTTTAGAGACACTTTTCATTGCTAATAAGTGTCTCAGAGATTAGCCTCTCTGACCTCACCTCTGACTAAGGTTCTTTTTATTCCAGACTCTGGGTCACTTGGAAAAAGCGGTGGTTCTTGAACTTACTTTGAAGCATGTGAAAGCACTAACAAACCTAATTGATCAGCAGCAGCAGAAAATCATTGCCTTGCAGAGCGGTTTACAAGCTGGTGAGTGTCTGAGCCTGGGTATCAGCTCTTAAAGAATTCATGCACCAATAGAGACGGGGGTTCCACCTCTAGTCTAAGAAATATTCTGCAACAAATAGCGTGTGCACGTGCATCGTTCATCGGGGTTCCTTTTGTCTTTCATGAAAGGTCAGACTTTTCCTTTGGAATGCCGCTGTGTGTCAGCTGACATGAATATATATTAGTCAAATGATCAACTATTTCTGCAGTATTATAGTTGAAGAGTCTGAGGGTTTGGGAGATTTCCCCACTCCCATTTAAAATGCTAAGGTCCCTATAATTTGCATCAGGGGTGTTTTACAGTGGGTCTTATTAAGCCCGCTTTCATTGAAGACTAGATCACAGGTCTGCCCCAGTGTTTTCCTGTTCTTTGCTTCCTTATCGCATGGTGTGTGGTGTGATCCTGGCAGCCTGACAGCAGGAGATTTTCCTGCTTTTCATGTGGTTCCCTGAATAGCCACTAGGTATCTTAGTGAGTTGCACAATCGAACGAAACCACCGAAGTTTCATCATTCATTTCTACTGGCTTCCAGAGAATCAGAGTCACCTTCTGAACTGCTAGTCTCACCCCTTCCAAATAATGCTGGAGAGATGTCTTCTACCCACTCCCTCATTCCAGTCTTCTCTGCCTTCCTGTTCAAGCCTACTATGATGGCAATTGCAAAAACCCAACAGGTGCTTCTGCCTGTTTCCTTATTGAAAATAGGAAGGTGATCATGAGTAATTTCTTGGGGACCATGGATAGAGTACATGGGAAAGATTTAAAACACCTGTTTAAAGATTATAGCATGACTCCGACTTTTCTAAGTCATGGAAAATAATCTTACTTTAGGGACCAGCAGATGGCATAATGGTTACATCACTGAACTCCCATATGGCCGACTGTGGTTTGAGTCTTGGACCCAGTGGCTTGAAACTCATGCTGGGCAGGTGTGCATGCATGCTCAAAATCCCGATAGCAGAATGGAGGAGAAGGGATTGTGGAGTGGCTATTCCCCCTGGGGGATGATTTTTTTACTTTTTCTCTGTCTCCCCAGTGAGTGCACGTGTCCTATAGTAAAAATCTCTCTCACAAATAATTTTAAAAATAATATTACTTGAGGTGATACTGCTCCTTCATTCTTTATTTCATTTTATGGTTATCTGGCTTCTGTTCATCTTGCCGCGGTAAGGTTGATGTTTTATCTATTGGCTCTTAGGTTTATAAACATACTGAATGTTCATTGCTGTGTAATTACAAGGAAAACCTACCAATTATACCAAGGCAAATCTTTCATCTTACTGCTCATGGTCCATGTCTGTGATGGTCTATGACATAGCCATCAAAAATCACATTTTGACCCAGCCACAGTGGCACAGGCAGCAGGGTAGCTCTGCCATGGAGCCATGTGGGAAGCCCTGGACAGGCATACCTGCAGGCATGCCCATAATCCTGCTCGGGAGAGGATCATAAGACCCCATCAAGGGTACCTGTCTTTTTCTCCATCTGTTGTGAAAGAACAAATACACTTTCTTTAAAATTTATGCTTTGATTCTATTTTTCCACAAGCTTTTCTTTTTAATTGCCAGAAGGTGTGTGCTCTCTCCAAAGAGAGATTGAGAGAGAGAAAGCATGCCCTGTTAGGGCGTGGTCCCACCTCAATCCCTTTTCCTCCATTTCCCCTTCCTGGTAGAATTTTGGGTGTGTGTGTGCACACATGCCTGGCATGTTTCTCAAGCTACTGTGGCCAGGATTCAATCCGTGATTGGCTTGTGAGATCTGAATCTCAATGCACAGTGCACTGTGCTATGGGACTGAACCATAAGTAAACTTAAAATGTTTATCTCTGGCAGGATTATCGATTCTTTTTATTTTACTCTGCATAATTTTCAGTGTAATTTTTCTCTGCACTTAATATTTTTGCAGTTAAGAATAGAAAATGGCAATTGCTATTTCTTTTAATAAAAAGGAAAGTCCCTGGCCTTGGGAGTTTAGGTATCCAGGTGAACCACAGGGCCTTCTCAAATGTCTTCCTTTGGATCTGTGTTTCCCCAGGTGAGCTCTCAGGGAGAAACCTTGAAGCAGGTCAAGAGATGTTCTGCTCAGGTTTCCAGACATGTGCCCGGGAGGTGCTTCAGTACCTGGCCAAGCATGAGAATGCTCGGGACCTGAAGTCTTCACAGCTCGTCACCCACCTGCACCGTGTGGTCTCAGAGTTGCTGCAGGGCGGTACTTCCAGGAAGCCGAACGACCCAGCTCCAAAAGTGATGGACTTCAAGGAGAAACCCAGCTCTCTGGCCAAAGGCTCGGAAGGTCCTGGGAAAAACTGTGTGCCAGTCATCCAGCGGACTTTTGCTCACTCGAGCGGGGAGCAGAGTGGCAGTGACACGGACACAGACAGTGGCTATGGTGGAGAATCAGAGAAGGGAGACTTGCGCAGTGAGCAGCCCTTTTTCAAAAGCGATCTTGGACGCAGGTTCGCCATGGGAGAGAGGGTCAGCACTATTAAGCAAGAATCCGAAGAACCCCCTACTAAAAAGAGCCGAATGCAGCTCTCAGATGATGAAGGCCATTTCACTAGCAGTGACCTGATCAGCTCCCCGTTCCTGGGCCCACACCCACACCAGCCTCCATTTTGCCTGCCCTTCTATCTGATCCCACCCTCAGCAACTGCCTACCTGCCCATGCTGGAGAAGTGCTGGTACCCCACCTCTGTGCCAGTGTTGTACCCCGGTCTCAATGCCTCTGCTGCAGCCCTCACCAGCTTCATGAACCCAGACAAGATCCCAGCTCCCCTGCTCATGCCCCAAAGACTCCCCTCTCCTTTGCCAGCCCATTCATCCGTTGACTCTTCTGCCTTGCTCCAGGCTCTGAAGCAGATCCCTCCGTTAAACTTAGAAACCAAAGACTAAACTCTTGAGGGGATCCTGTGCTTTGCTTTCCTTCCTCCCTACTTCCAAAAAAACAAACAAGAAAATGTTTCTGTGAGTGTAGCGAGACTGTTCCATGGTGTGCTGAGATCACGTGAGGCATGGAGAGAAGATTCAGTGTGTGTATGTGTGCGCGTGTGCGCTGTGACCCTATGTGTTGGTATAGGACACTGAAGTTCCTTTCTGTGTAAGGAAAACAAGAAGGATTGCTTGACATCAAGATTGCGGGGGCGTCCTAGCAGACTTCTGGGCTTTTCCCCACCCAGAGACTCGTCCCCCCCCCCTTTCCCTTTGATAAAGATCAGCTGGATTTTCAAAACCTCCAAAGTCTTGGTCTGTGAGTCACTCTTCAGTTTGGGAGTCGGGTCTGTGGCTTTGAGAAAAAGGTAGTTTCAAAGGAGGGTTTTCCGAAGCACAGCTCCCAGCCAGCTGTCAGGACCCCACCCTTCTCCCTTTATTGTCGGCGTGACTCACCAGACTGCAGGAGAGAGCAATCAGACAGCTTTCTGCGTAAGCAGTGAGGTAGCAGACACTGGTATAGCACGGCAGAGGTTTGGGGAGATTTTCGCAGGTCTGCTCCCCTCCCCTGCCTCCAATGAATAAACAGAATGTAGTTCCCTACTCAGGCCTTCCTAGTGATTAGCTTACTACGGAACTGAAAATGGCTCCCTCGGACAAGCTGAGCTGCCAGGGAACGAGGGAGGAGTTCCCCGGGCCTCTGGCACCTGTTTCAAGGTCTCACCCTTAGTACTTGCTGCCCAGAAAACCAAACCGGGTTCTGAGAGATGCAGACACCCCGAGTACCCCAGAATGCACAGAGCCGAGGAGCAAACCCCTGCCTTATGGCAAAGCTGAACTCGGTTTTCAGTTCTATCCTAAAACTCCTTTAACCAAGCTTAGCTTCTCAAAGGCCTAACCGAGCCTTGGCACTGCAAGATCCTTTCTGTAGGCTAATTCCTTTTGCCTGACGGCATATGGAGTGTCCTTATTGCTAAAAAGGATTGTGCCTCCTTCAAAGAAGTTTTTATTTTTGGTCCAGAGTACTCGTTTTCCTGACCTGTCCAGCTAGCTCTGCACCAGCTTTTCAAAATGCACTATGCTTGATCGCCGATCGTGTTTTAACTTTTTCTTTTCCTGTTTTTATTTTGGTATAAAGTCGTTGCCTTTATTTGTAAAGCTGTTATAAATATATATTATATAAATATATTAAAAAAGGAAAATGTTTCAGATGTTTATTTGTATAATTACTTGATCTACAAAGTGAGAAAAAAAAATGAATGTATTCCTGTTTTTGAAGAGAAGAATAATTTTTTTTCTCGAGGGAGAGGTACAGTGTTTATATTTTGGAGCCTTCCTGAAGGTGTGAAATTGTAAATATTTTTATCTATGAGTCAATGTTAAGTAGTTGTTTTAAAATACTTAATAAAATAATCCTTTTCCTGTGGAAGAGAAAGATGGTCTCCTGAATTTTTTAAATAACTTGATTGAGGTAGCTGTCCCCTGTGGCCCTGATTCTGAGGGAGAAAAAAAAAAAAATCAGTTAATCTTGGTGATTTCATTCAGCTTTCCATATGCCTTGTATATAGTCAGAATAAGCTTACTCAAGTTTAGTAGCAAAATACTGGTTTGTTTTCTTTTAAGTAACTTTTGCCAGGGATTTGCAATCACCCTATACCTCTTTCCATCATTAAGAAAAGTCCATTTCTCCCTTGCAGCCTGCTTTAGTCATGGTCCTCGGAACTTGACAGACGGCCAAGGCATGAAATTGTGGGTCGGAGCGTCTGGGTGGCTTGCTGGAGGGGTAAGCACGTTAAGAAAAGGTTTCAGGGATTATTACGCAATCATAATTGATACTGGGGATAGCACGTCTTTGCCAAGGCGGTCTAACTTTTTTGAATCTAGCAAGGTCTAATGGATTTGCCATATCCTGTCTCATGGCTGCTGGAGGCAACATTCCGTAATTATTTTCTACATCCTTCCTGGACTTCCTTCCATTGGGTGTGTTTGTGCGTGAATGAATATCGGCGGTGTTCCTTATTCAAGTACTCTTATTAAAAAAAAAAAAAATTCCATGGGAAAAGAAGTGGGAAATGACCCGGCCCAGTATTTGTGCCTCTCTCCTTCACCTTGACTTGCAGGGTTCCTGTTGGATGCTGCCTCTCAGAGGTGTCCTGAGGCTTCCTGGTGGGCAGTGCCTGGCAGGTCATTGTCCAGCCTCCAAAGCATCTGAAGTTTCCAGAACCCTCTGTTTGTCTGGAGCCCAGGCCCAGAAGCTGCCCCCGGGGAATTCTCAGCCAAATCCAGGCAGCACCTGCCCATTAGGACTGTCAGTGTCAGGTGTCACCTTCCCTGCTCCTGATGGGCCAGCAGGCGCGAGTGAGAGAGTGAGCCTTTCCTTGCTGTGCGAGGAACAAACAGGAATGCACCACCACCGCCTTAAAGGGACAATTGTCCTCAGGCAGCCAGACCAGGGGGCAGGCGGCCTGGCATCCCCAGCAGGTGGTCTACCACCTCCCTCTCCATGCCTGTTTTTGACTAGATAAAATAAGAATTCTGAGCCCTTTTCACACATTTCGTAGCAGGCAGATGGCAAATTCCGTAAGTTCCTTTTTCTCCCAGCTCCTTAGGGTCTGAGCCTCTGGGTCTCCTACCTGCTAAACCCCTAAAATCCTCCATGAGTCTCTAGACTTTTCTAGCTAGGTGTTTTTGGCAAAAGCTCAGACAAGTCAAGTTTGGCCTGGTTGAAATGAAGGGCCTAACTCTTTGCATGTCCTTCTCTTTCCTGGGCTGTGACCCAAGGAGTAGCTGTGAGGACAGAAGGAAGGGGTTGGAGCAACACACTTTAAGACGATTGAAGGGTTCCTTGCAGTCAACCCAGAAGCCCCCTGTCGAAGTCTGCCCCCCAAAGATGTAGCTGTTTCTCTGCCTCCTTTTTGTCAGGTTTGCCCTTGACCTTCCTTCTAGCCCAGTTTCAGCAAGATCCAAGTGCTGGCAGGACATGCGGGAGGGGCTTGCACCCCAGCCTTGTGCGCACTGGGGACAAAGAGGCCCTCTGTTTAGAAGGGGTGTGTGTGTGCGCGCGAGGGGGTGCAGCCCGGGCTCTGGGGCCAAGGCGAGGTGGCAGGAGGCAGGGGAGCGGAGGTTTGGGATCTGGCCGCCTTCAGACAGGGCGTGATCCGCCGGGCCTGCCGGGATGGTCTCACCCAGCGCTGACCTGCCTCCCCTGTTGACACAACGTCACGTTTCCGACTGC